ATCCATCTCTCTCATCTGTCACACTCCTATGTCTGTATTTTTCTTTTTTCCTAAGATTATAATTGCCTATCACTGGTAAAGTTTTCTGGATCTCCACATATAGAAGAATCTTTGGCTTCTGTGTTCCCCAGTCCAAGCCATGGGGTTTCCAGGACCCAAGTAGAAGACCATCCTTTGCTAAGGTCTTCACCTATATTTGGGAAAGGAAGCTTTTAATGCATGGTTGTCCTCAAGATAGGTTTATTTTTAAAAGAAAAATGTTTGGAGTATACACTCTTCATTCAAAATGAAAGTAATTGTTGATGCACAAAAATATGTTTTAATGCTTCTATTAATTATTTATAGATGTGACTCACTGGCATCTGCAACAAACCATTCAAGCTATTAAGAATAGGTTAAGTGGCATTTAAATAATACAACAAGAATTGTTATCACATCTGTCAGCAATGCTGTCCAGGCTTTTTCTAAGACTTCTTCAGGGTACAAACAGAGACATGAAAAATTTCTCCAGTATTTTTCACTTATCAGTGCTGTTGAAGATATACTACTTTTTAAAATTTAAACTACCATTTACTTTCTTTTAAAAAAAGAATTAGTTATTGAGACAGGGTCTCACTATGTAACCCAAGGCAGTCCTTGACATTCACTCCGATTCCTCCACTTTCCACACTCAACTTCCCTTAACTCTCTTTTGAAATTTATTTATTTTTGGGCTGGGAAGGTGGCTTAGTGGTAGAGCGCTTGCCTTGCATGCCTGAGGCCCTGGGTTCGATTCCTCAGCACCACATAAGCTAAAAGAAAAAAAAAGTCAGAAGTGGCTTTGTGGCTCAAGTGGTAGAGTGCTAGCCTTGAGCTGAAGAGCTGAGGGACAGTGCCCAGGCCCAGAGTTCAGGCCCCACGACCGGACCCAAAAAGAAAAAAAAATTTATTTATTTTTGTTTTTTTTTTACTGTTGTTATTAAGTAGTTGTACAAAGAGGTTACCGTTCCATAGGTCAGGTTATAATACTTGTTTTTATTTTATTTTATTTAAAAAATTTTTTTTTTCATTGTAAAGATACTATACAGAGGGTTACAGTTACATGAGTGAGGTAATGAGTACACTTTCTATTGAGCATTGTTACCCCCTCCATTGTTTTCCCCCTACCATCCCCTCCCCTCCCTCCCTCCCTTCCCCAGGTTCTTTTTTTTTTTTTTGATTGTGATTAAGTGATTACATAATTTCCTGAATTTCACAGTATTGTGGAATAATGATGCTCATTTAAAGTCACAAATTCATTCTAACTTTCCTGGAGCAAATTGTCTATCACAGTCTATAACATATAACGGTGTATACATATACACCATACATGTGATCAGCAGCATGGGGATATTTAGTAGTGGTTCAACCAGATGAGTGGGAGTTCTTTGTTTTTTAAGTCCTGTTAATTTTGTCGTATCACCTAACATTTTGGATTTAGCATCCACTTATCAGGGAGACCATGTACCGTTTGTCTCTTTGCTCTTGGCTTACCTCGCTCAACATGATTCCTTCTAGCTCCATCCATTTCCCTGCAAATGCCATTATTTTGTCATTTCTAATGGATGCATAATATTCCATTGTGTATAGATACCACAATTTTTGGATCCATTCATCTGTAGTGGGGCATCTGGGTTGTTTCCATATCCTAGCTATTGTGAACAGTGCTGCAATAAACATGGAGGTGCACGTGTCCTTAATACTTCTTTTTTTAAAAATACATTTTTATTGTAAAAATACTGTACAGAGGAGTTACAGTTACATAAGCAAGGTAATAAGTACATTTCCTATCAAGCATTGTTACCTCCTCCTTTGTTTTTGTTTTCCCTTCCCTTCCTTTCCCTCCCACCTCCACAACTACACTTCCCCCTCCTCCCTCCCAGTATAATACTTCTTGATCAGTGTCACCTCTTCCTTTTTCTCCCTCCCCCCCATCTCTATTCTCAAGTTTCATATCTAATTTTTTTTTATTGTGAAAATACCGTAGAAAGGGGTTACAATTACATGGGCAAGATAATGAGCACACTTCTCATCAAGCATTGTTGCCTCCTCCTTTGTTTCCCCTTCCCATCCCTTCCCATCCCCCCACCCCCCACCCTTATGCCAAAGTTGTAAAGTTCATTTTCGACATAACATCTTGTACATCTCATTGTTGCAATGGGTCCACCTGTATCCCTATTTAAACAATTTGTTTTTTCCCTTCCCCTCAACAAATTATACCAACATCAAATACAGTGAAAACGGGTTATACCGTGGGGGAGGGACATACAAAGCAACAAAGAAATATCTTATAAATATGTTAGAAACAATCGCAAGAAAGAAAAAACATTTGAATCCTTATCTTGGGGTTCATTTCGCTTAACATCAACTTATCTGACCATTTCTGCTTGTCTCAGACATATCTAATTTTTTACATAATGTACATTGAATATAATGACTACATTTGCTCACCCTTCCACCCTCCATTCCTATGCTCCTCCCCTTGATTTACCCCTCAAAATATGTTTTCACTTTCTGGTGTTCATTTTGATGAACAGTACTTTATCAATTTCCCTTAACTTTTTATATTTCATTCATGTATTGGGTTTTCCAACCCAATTACATGGCTCACACCAATAGCCAGAAATCGTTTTAGGTTCAAATAATAAATTGTGTTTTATAATTAACATGATGCTCATCCAAAAAATGAGGATTACAGTAGGGGTGTCATTGGTTACAAACAATAGCAGCAACAATTGCTAACATTATCTGAGTAGTTTCCTCATGCCAGACACCATGGTGTATGAACTCATTTACTCTTCCTCCAACTCTGTGGGGTAGTAACGTGCTTATTTATACAAGGAGGGCAAGGAACATCTGAATGAGGCTCTCAGGTTACATAGGGATCAAGTGGCAAGGATAGGGAGATGGATTTCCAAGCCTGGATTCTTGATCATTGTGCTACATTGCCCCACAGGTAAAATGGTGCTTACCCCATCTCCCGGCAGAGATAAGTAGGAACTCATGAACATTGCAAAGTAAAAGCTAGAGCATATGGGCTGAGTATTTTATACCACTAGAGTTGAGTGCTGGCTGGCGGTGGCACCTCTTTTCTTTCTATATATTGTTTTATTGTTATTTTAAAGGCGATATACGCCGAAGGGTTATAGTTACATAAATGAGGTAATAAGTACTTTCTTTCCTTTCTTCCTTCCTTCCTTCCTTCCATCCTTCCTTCCTTCCTTCCTTCCTTTCTTTTGTCAGTTAGGGGGCTTGAACTCTGGGCTTGGGCACTGTCACTGAGCTCTTCAGCTCAAGGCAAATGCTCTACCACTTGAGCCACAGTGCCACTTCTGGATTTCTTGTGATTAGTTGGAGACAAGAGTCTCATGGACTTTCCGCCCTGGCTGGTTTTGAACCAGGATCCTCAGATTTCAGCCTCTTGAATAACTAGGATTACAGGCATGAGCCACTGGTGCCCGGCATAAGTACATTTCTTTTTGGACAATGTCACCCCTTCCCTCTCAAGCTCTCTCCCAGATTTTCCTTCCTGTATCCACCCACAAGTTGTATAGTTTTTTTCTTTCTTTCTTTTGTATAGTCCATTTTCTACAGAGTGTCTAGTGAGTACCACTGCTGCATTTGTTCACCCTTTGTCCATTTCGATGTCCCCCTTACCCTCTCAAAGACAGATAAATGAATAAACAAGACAAAGACAGCAACAGAATAAAACCTCTTGTTTCTCTTTCTTGGTGTAGCACCTCTTAACACTTAAAGCTGCTATTCCAGACAGGAACTCTACCACTGAACAAAGCCCCAACCCTGAGTTGTGACTAATCTAACAAACTTCCACATCCCTTCCTTTCTCCTTTTCCTGAGTGCCTTAAACCTCTGACTTCAAGAGAGAGCATGTTAGTGGAAGGGTTCAACTCTTTACCACTCAAGTGACCCTGAGCAATTCACACCTGCCTTCTTTCCTATAAAAAGAAGCAGTAGCACCTGCACCAGCATGGACAACAGGAGGAATGGGAGGGTTCCATCGAACACTGAAGCACAGAGGCAGGCAAACAGGAAATTCAGACTGAGAGTACAGAGATTGGCCAACAGTGACCAGAACCGAGAGCCGTGCCTTAGTTGCCTCTAATGCATTCCATCTTGCCAGTTCCCCATGAAGATGGAAATTAGTATCAGGATTTCACTGACTATCACTACTTGTTGCTTACATACTTACGTTTGAAATTCTCTCTGTAGAAAATTGCATACTGTTCTCATTGCTTTCCCATGTAAGAATTTTACTGTTTTTTTTTGGTTGTGTTTTCATCTTGTTGATGTGTTGTAGATATCTTTTTTTTTCATGTAATATTTATTTTTAATTATCTTAAGTCTTATGGCCACATAATTTACAAATTATCTCCTCTACATGAAACCCTTTCTCTTAAGAAGCTGGCAAAAAGCACCACTATCAATCACACATACACAGTAGTTCCACAATTTTGTGTTTCTGAACAGCTGCATAAAGAAAATCCAGAATTATAACTTCGTCTTAGTAAAGAATTCAAAAATAAAGTCCGTATTGTATCTTATCAATCACTTTTAAAAGCATCAGTACTTATAGACCAACTATAAAATGTGACAAGTGTTGAATATTCTTTGTTTGACATTTATACATAAGCCACACTAAAATGCCTTTCAATAAAGTAAAAGGCAGATCTCAGAGAAAGGGCATTCTAATTAAATTGGTATAGTCAGCACCAAAAATATAGACATTGTTCCTCATCTTCAGCCATTACCTTTAACAGGTTAGTGTTGCTTGATTCTGAGACAGTAAAGGGATTTCTTCAGTATTTAATGATGTTCTCATAATTCGCCATATAAATTTGAATAAAAAACCAATCTTTAACAGATTTGGAGACGGTATTATTCCCTACCTTGCTGAAAAATTGAACATTAGTAAGTCCAATCATATGACAGAAGGGGGGAAAAGTGACAGTATTTTTTTTTTTAAGATCATATTCACTTAGCCACAAGCCAGTTTTACTTAAATCAGGACTGTCCAAAAATATTCTGCCAGCCATTCATGATCTGAAATCTGATATTAGAGATCAATTGAATTATGGTACACATTGAAAAGCCATGAGACATTTGTTTAGCAGTAAATAACAAAGGCAGTGGCTATTACTCATTTGTAGCTTTTTTGAGATAAGCTAACAAATCTGCCCGTCCTCCCTTCTTCTGAATGCCAGTGAAGATCATTTTTGTTCGAGGGATGTACTTTTTGGGGTTCTCCAAATACTCCATCAGTGTATCCTCTCCCCAGGTGATGCCTTTGTTCTTGCTGGCATCTGTGTAAGTGAATCCAGCTGCTTGACCCGTCTTCCGACCAAACAGACCATGGAGATTAGGCCCAGTCTTGTGCTTGCCTCCTTTTTCAATGGTGTGGCACTGGGCGCACTTCTGAACAAAAATCTTCTTGCCTTTCTCAACATCACCCATTTTCAATTCGCTCTTTCCTCGTTATCACAGGAAGGATAACAGCTCCGCAGGCAGACGTCCCGCGCTCTCATGTTGTAGATATTAATTGTAACAATTCCTAAACAATTTGTGGAATAGAAAACACAATTAGTGCTGGTGCTCATCCTGTAATCCTAGCTACTCAGGGGGCTGAGATTCAGAGGATCATGATTTGAAGCCAGTCCAAGCAGAAGAGTCCACGAAACTCCATCTCCAAAAAAGCATCAAAAAGCCTAGCTGGAGATGTGCCGCAATGGTAGCGTGCCAGCTGAGCAAGCAAGCCAAACAAACCTGAGAACCTGAGCTCAACCTGAGTTTCATCACAACAAAAACAACAAAAAATCAAAATGAGAACCACGTTGGAAGGAAATTTTTAATATATAACACGTACCTTAAATATGTTTCTAAGAGAATTTCAATTTCTGGAACCTACCTTTAAGATAGATCATGAAGTACAGAAAAGCTTTTAGTACAAAATGTTCATTGTGATATTATTATTATGAGTAGTAGTAGTAGTATTTTTAAAAAACTGGTTTTCTTTTTTCGTTTTCTTTTGCTGGTTGTGGGGCCTGAACTCTGGGCCTGGGCCTTATCCCTGAGCGCTTCAGCTCAGACAAGCCCTCTACCACTTGAGCCACAGAGCCACTTTCTGAGATATTATTTTTAAATTATATTTTTATTAGCTTTATGTAGTTGCACAAATGAATTATCATTCAACAAATCATTTTGTAAGTACATCGTAGTTTGATTGATGTCATCTCTTTCAGCATAGTCTCCCACCCCTCCCAACCCATCTCCCCGTTGTGACATTATTTATAAGAATTTGGAAACAATTTAAATGTTCTACTAACTGGGAATGGTTAAGTACATAAAATGTTTCCCACATAATAGATTACTGTGCATTTAAAATTATGCTTATGAATAATTTATCATGGCATGAGGGGAATGCATATTCTGTAAGTACTTAGCAGAATCATTTTATATATAGTGTGATCACAACTAAGTACAAAATAGTTGTATGAACACAAATATTTGGAAAAATGTATACCAGAATTCTTCAGATGGTAATTGGTAAGGCGAAGAAGACTCTGGGATCTTTTCTGCCTTCTACTTTTATATTTTTTCAATTTGTTTTCCAATGAACATGTGGTCCTTTACAATGTTAAGAGACAAAGCAACCTTGATTTGAATAAAGACTGTTGCTAGTGTGGGCATTTCTGTCTGTTTTAGGCATGACCATCAACAAGATAGATTCCATCTGCGTGTGCTCCATAGAACACTGCTTCCCAAGGCTTCTGTCAATAATCTACTGTAGGTAACAATGGCAAATACAAATTGTCATATAGTGAGAGAGTATTACAGAAAATGGAAAGTCTACTACCTTCCATAAGAGATGGAAGTCTTTTTTTTCAGCCTCTTTAGCTAGCTAGTTTTCTTATGCAACTGAAAGTTTACACAACTTTTCAGGACTTCTTTTGTGTGAATAAGATACACTTGTATACATTGTGCACATTTATACATGCCATTATAAAGAGCAGATTAAAAGAGTAAAACCTACTATATTTCATTTTCTTTCGTTCTTTCTTTTTTTTGGGGGGGGGGGGTCTGGTCATGGGCCTGAACTCTGGGCCTGGGTGCTGTCCCTCAGCTCTTCAGCTCAAGGCTAGCGCTCTACCACTTGAGCCACAGCACCACTTCCGGCTTTTTTTTCCTGCTTATGTGGTGCTGAGGAATCGAACCCAGGGCCTCATGCATCCAAGGCAAGCGCTCTACCACTGAGCCACCTTCCCATCCCCTCATTTTTTTTCTTTCATTTTTTTCATTTCACCTCTTATTTTGGCAGTAATAACTAGGTTCCTGGTTTACCTAGGATCATCTTGGTTTGTACCAATATACTTATTAAAAAGTGTCCCCCCCTTTCTCACAGAATTATTATTATTATTTTTTTTGTCGGTCATGGGGTTCGAACTCAGGGATTGGGCACTGTCCCTGAGCTTTTGTGTACAAGGTTACTTACTGTTCCACCACTTTGAGCCATAGCTCCACTTCCTCTCAGAATTGTTTTGGTTTAGACAAGAAATTATGAGGTTATCCCCACATTATAAGACATGGGAATCCATTGGAGAGAATTGAGTGATAGCATCTAGACTCTGACTCTTGAGTGACCGTATGTTTGGCAGTGGGGCAGCTGGCTCCCAACAGTTAGCCGGCAGCACACAGAGAAGCAGCTGGCAGCCACACTTGGAAGGGACAGGAAGTATTACACTCACAGCAACCATTGGTCCATGGGCTGTGTTACTTTGTCTAATCAGTTGTTCATCTATTAGTTGATAGTGATTCTGGGAGCAGTGGCTCTACCTGAAGGCAGAAAAGAAAGTCTATCTACTTGATCTAAGATACCCAAGGCACACCTATCCCAGATCTTTTCCATCAGCCTGTTCTGGAGCTTGATATTTCCACCATTAGAATTACATTTCTAAAAACAATTAAAATTCTGTGTGGAGAGAGCAACACAAAAGCACTGGAGAAGCAACTCTTCTCAGGAATTAGAAGGAACCTGATGCTCATCCTTGCGGGGCCACTCTGGGCCAAGGACCTTCATTTTCTCAAAGGTTCAGTGACTTCAATAAGAAGAAGGAAATAAAATCTGCCCTGACGATCTGATGGGCTTATGGTGTGGATAAAATGGTTACTCTATGTGAACGTGCACTGCAAATACAAACACATTGCAAAATCTCACCATTAGCATATGGAGCTATTCAAATAAAACCATGTATTAGCTTGAGCTAACATCATTACCTTGGAATGCAATGAGCAAGTCCTGGGAATATGACACACACTGGGGAGATGTGGATGGGTGGTTATAAGGAGAGGACTGAGGCAGGCTGGCTGCTCATTGGAACTACCTGGAGAACTTTCCAGAAAAAAAAAACAACACAACAGATTAGTAGTCTCCATCTCAAAGCTTGGTATTCAATTGAGCACACACAGTGCAGAGTAAGTCAAGAAAGATGAGAGGGGAAGTTAATTGCAATACCAAAGGAGCCAGAGCGGGGTCTGAGCCTTGGGAGAGAGAATGGCAGAACTCTTACCACTCTGAATGTATTTCTCAGGGCTTCTCTTATTAGGAAATTATGGCACTAAAAGGAATTGCTAGTGTTTTGTTTCTTCCAAGTTATTCCTTCCTAGTCTTAGAAAATAAATTCCACGTGGGTGAAGATTGTTGATCCCTTACTTCATTGTTGAATTCCAGCACTTAGAACACCCCTCTTCACACAGAACCAGGGTAAAAGGTATTGAATAAATGAATACCATTTGCCTATGTCATCTCTTCTCCTCACTCATGTCTTTAATTTCAGGCTCACTCGTAGGGCATGAGTTGGGCCAGGTTTAGGAATGGGGTCTTGATCAAGGTGACAGAGTGGTAGCCCTATGTCGACTTGTGACACCTGCTATTTCTACCTCAGTTCTTTGTGGGCAACTTGTCAAGTTCTGTTGATAAGTTTAACATTTTAGTGCTTTTAAGCGCTATGACTATCCTACCAAGAGCAGAACTATGCTTCAAGTTGGGGTTTTAATTGTATATTTGGAAATAATGTAATAACAAGAGAATTAAAAAAAATTCTCTCTGCAGCTTTTTGCTAGCTCTGGGACATTGCAATATGATTATTTAAATAATACGCTTTGCTAATTAATTTTGTTTGTTACCTTTCTGATAGCCTTTGAATGAGAAGTGATTCAGATTTTATATATATATATATATAGAGAGAGAGAGAGAGAGTCAGTGATGGGTCTTGAACTCTGGGCTTGGGCACTGTCCCTGAGCTCTTCAGCTCAAGACTTTGCACTCTACCATTTGAGCCACAGCACCACTTCCGGTTTTCTGGTGGTTTATTGGAGATAAGAATCTCACGGACTTTCCTGCCTGGAGTTGGCTTTGAATCATAACTTTCAGGTCTCAGCCTCTTGAGTAGCCAGGATTACAGGCGTGAGCCCCCAGTGTCCAGCTTCAGATTGTACTTCATGTATCTTTTCTCTGCTATTACTTAACCCCCTGCCAGATGTGGAACACGCAAATTGTAGGTTGAGAGGAATGTTGGTTGAGCTCTTACTCTGTGTAGATGTTAGGAATTGAGTGTATGAAGATAATAAAGCAAATATTATATCAGACTCTGGTGAGATATAGAAATATGTATGTATGCAACTATGCATATTTAATGTACATGCATGGGTTGTTATTTTGATGCTTCAAAAGCAACTAATGGAATGCTCAGGCCAGAATGTTTGAGGTAGGAGTCCTCAAGGTTGCCCAGTACATGGAACTGATTACACTTTGGTTTTGGCTCTGCTTCTCCACACTTCTTTTGGGTTGTCCCACATGCTCCTAAGAGGGCAAAGGAGATAATTAAAAAGGTGAATACAGACAAAGTAGGGTCTGTCAGGAAGACAGAAGTGGGATTGTGTGGGTGGCTATCCGTGAGTGTGGGGGGTGTATTCCCTAGGAATGTAATGATTTCATGGCATACCAAAGTTACAAAGGAGTTAAGTAGGGAAATGTACACTAGGCTTATAAGTATGGTGCATAACTACTATTGTTTAGTTAAACATACAAAAATAAAATATATTCATTAAAATTTTCAGGTCTGTGAGGTATCTTTCCATCCTCCTCAGATTTCTATTCATTTACAAAAGCTTCTTAGTTGTATGCATATATATATATATATATATATATATATACACATATATAAATGTATATATACACACACACACATTCACATACACCTTCACAAACATTTTATATCTACCATCAATATTGAGTTTGTTTGAGCCTTTCAGACAGTAGAACCAGAGGTAATAATTAATGCATGCCACTTTACTTGGAAAATGTAAGTGAAGCTGTTGAAGGCTGGCCAGCTGGGGAGGTGGAGACAGGAGGATGACAAAGTTAGAGGCCCTCTCTCAAAAATGTAAGCTAAAAGCACACAAGCCACTCTTCACAATGGGCCTGGCAGAAATGAAGCAGAGGCTTCATAGCTGTGACAC